GCGGGGCCTGCCTGGCGGTGCCCCAGGTCAGAGAGCACCACGGGCAGCCCTGGGCACAGCCAGCACCCCCAGACTGTGGTGGGGGCGCTTTCGGGGTGCTCCTAAGTCAGGGAGACGCGGAGGAAGACGGTGGAAGGGGCTGTCCGGGAAGAGCCGGCGAAGAGGCCGTGCTCACTGCGGAGAACAGCATCCGCCGAGGTCCCGGTGCTCCGCAGAGAACGGTGCGGTGCGTGCTGCGGGGTCTGTGCGCGGCGCCGGTCTCCGGGGCCAGGTCACCGACCAAAGCGGAGGCGCCGAGGAACTAGCTGTGATCCATGTGGCGTCCTTTCCTTCGCTGCTTTTCCTGCTCCTGCACGTCTCCAGTGCGCACGCTCCCGGTAGATGAAGAAAGGAACACGGCAGGTGCCATAAGGTCCCGGGGTCACGATTAAGTGACTACATTTAAGCTGTCATAAGTCTGTGGATGCCCAAAGCTTGGCTTAAGAGAAGGAGACGGGGAGGGAGGGAGGAAGATAAGACCCGATACTGGAACCAGAAGTCGGCACACTGTTCCAGAGACTTCGCTCTTGACACCTATGCAGTGTTTCATTAGCACCTCATCAGTGAGCCTGAGTCTTCGCCCGCACTGTTGAAAGAAATTGAATAGAAAAGAGCCCGATTGTACTTAATCATGAGCTATATTAATTTGTGACACTTTGGTCTCTGCTTTGCATGTGTGTAGAATGACTCATTATGGGGGTGAAGCTGTGTGGACAAATGGCAGGGCCCCTCCCTGGCTGCAAGGCCCTCTGACAGTGCCCCATGGAGCACCCTGCGAGCTGGTGATCAGAGAAGGCATGAGACCCTCAGCCAGACGCCGCAGCTACTGAAGTGTGTTCTGAGGACCCAGGGGGGCAAGGGCAGTGGCTGGCAGTCTGTGCTGGGGGCGGGGCAGCGGCGCTGGAGGCACCTGCGAGCATTCTCGAGGTCTGCGTGCTATGAGGGAACTCCGTAGGCAGACACCAGCTGAAAAGAAAGTTCTAGGCGGGCGGAATAAGCTGCCAAAGCCCTAAAGCATCTCCAGAAGAATGGGGTGAGATTTGGAGCGTTGGGCGGGAGTCAGATCCCGCCGGCCTTGTGGGATTCTCCGAGACAATAATGCTCACCTTACGGAGACCTCAGTGTCCCATTCTGTGTGTGAGGTCACCGTTCTGAGATGGTGCCCATGTCTCTGTATTCATCAACATACGTGTTGGGCTAAGTTTCACCCAAGTAGGAAACACGTGAGGAACCCAAGTGTGTGTGTGTGTGTGTGTGTGTGTGTGTGTAGTGGGATGAGTGAATTTATACCCATCACCATCTGAAGGACACTCGAGGGGGACTGTGCCATAGACAGATCAGATCCGAACCCCGGCTTCACGTCTGAGGTGGGGACACGGGGGGGGCTGACCGTGGGCAGATGGAGGAACTCCCCTGGGAGCTGAGGTCTAGGGAGAAGGGCCCTCCTGCAGGGCCGGCCCCTGTCAGCGTGGGGACACGCAGAATCTCAGGATAGGCCCAGAAGTCCTGAGGTCAACAACTGGAATCCTTACCCAGTATTTAGTGTATTTGCTGAGCAAAATGGTCCTATTTTAGAGGTAAAAGGAGTATTTCATATGAATTTTCAGTGTGTTATCATAATTTTGAGACATTTTCAAGAGTATCTTATCTCCTTATATTGTAGTCCTTATTAATGAAGGTTTGTTTTGGTAAAGATGCAGCTGTAAAAAGATAGGAGTAACAATGATAACCATAGAAGTCAATGATAACAATGATAACCATGTGGCTCTGATCAAATGTAAATCTCAACTCTGAATATTAATTAGATATCCAAAAATGTTTATTTAGTAGGAAAATTGCATATCTTGCTTGTAAATGAGTACATAGATATGCACTAAAAAATAGTGTTTATTGGCTGTATGGATGGGCCTAATCCTGCTGTACATTCGGTGGTGTGTATTAGAAACCGGAAACATGTCCATTTGACCAAATTAGATCTGCAGAAGGTTATCATGGGGGGCGGGGGGGCGCCTTCCCTTCATAGTGGCTTACTGCGACGGCAGACATCTGCTCTTCACAGTGAACACTGTCCCAGCAAGGAGCACGCAAGTCTCAAACACACACCCATTTCTCTTTGGAACTGTTCTATTTTCAACTGCTCCCTGCTGAAGCAAAAAAGAAAAGTGTACAGATGAGTTATTTAGTTTCCTTTTCCTCTCTTCACTCCAAGTCCCCAGGAACTTAGCTCACAGGGCGAGGAGGGGGCAGGAGTTGGGTCCACGTTACAAAACAGCAATCTGGTTCATCCTTTCTGAAAAGCGTGTTACCCTATGCACAGTCTAGGGAGCGGTCCGCTCTGTGTGCTCCTGGACAAGCCCCACGCCGGCCCTGTGCCACCTGCAGTCTCCGCGGGCGGTTATGGACTGGTCTGGTCTGACCCTCACCCTAAGAACAACCCTTCCTCCAGCTACCTTCTCAAACACACGACCTATCTTTCTGTGATCAGAAATCATGTTTCTTATCCGAAAGAGTACATTTTAACTAACATTTTCTGCAAGATGAAAGCACTAGAATTAATCCCCTGATTTTGGCTTCCACACTCACAGAATCCCCATTACGCGTAATCTTCGCGAGAGACTGGAGAAGGCAAATCTATGTTGCACTTGTCGGTGATTGCCAAATGCAATTCTTTCTCAGTCTGAAATGCCAGGTGCCAACCGACATAGCTTGCACGAAAATAATGCAGCTGTGCTAAATTATTCCCAGCCCTCTAGGTAGAGTGTGGGTCTGTCATGTGTTGGGGTGTAAATCCACCCTTCTCTGCACCCCCCCCCCCACGGTGCTCTCAAGAGCTGGAAGTGGGTGAGGTGCGAGAAAGACAGGCCGCAGCACCGCATTTGCCTGGCGGGAGTTGGGGTGAATTTTCACGCACTGCTTTGGGGTTTACACATCTTTAGACTGCAGGCCACCCAGTGTATGTGCCTGCACATTCCTCTCGTCCTAAAAATCGAATCGCCAGCATTTTTGGCCTCAAGATCACAAGGAGTGGATGCAGTCTTTTTCTTCAGGGTGACTATGGGGGGCGGGGAGAGTGACGATGTAGATTCTTGTTCCAATAATGATCTGTGCAAACATGGTACCGTTTTCTCATTGAAGTCCTCGGCAGAGAGGCCACGCTTAGGGGATACTGTATAATTTGCAGGGAGGGCACCTGAACGGAAGCGGGCTCGGGGATTTTATGAGCCTTCAGCAGCTGACTCGTCTCGCTCGTAAAAGCTGAGCAGTGTCTCAGGAATTATTCCGAGTTGCCAGCTCCCCAGCGCTGGAGGCTGTGAAGACACGGGTGACGCCAGACAGCGAGTAGGAAGAGCCGGTTTCGTTCTAATTGCCCCCAGAATATCCGCGGATGGGTCGCACGGACTAAATAAAGACACAAAGAGAAAGGGTCTGGAAGGAGCGCGCGAGCTCGCGGGCGGGGGGCTGTTTCACTGCTCCCGGGCCTGCGTGCCTAGAGCAGTCGGTCCCACTTCTCACGGGTCGAGGAAATATTTCGCTCCAAACTTGGGGTGCACCTGGTGTTCTCTTTGATCTGAGCTGTTCAGCAGAAATAGATACTCAGACGGCGAGCTAGCTGGATGCTAGATTTCAGGAGGAGGGCGCTGGTGACAGAGGAGGAGGAGGGGACCTAGAGGAAGAGGAAGACCGGGAAGAAGAGAGGGAGCTGGGGGAGGGGACAGGGGCGCGGGGAGAGAGGAGACGGGAGTGAGGGGTGTTGAAGCGGGCAGGCCCCAGCTACCCGGCTCAGAATCAGCCTCGGGAATGGCCAGATTAAACGCGAGGACCCGGCCGCAGCCAAACCCCCACTGACCGTTACTCCGGCCTCCGCCTGGGGCGGGGCGCGCGGGACCCAGAGCGCGGGACCCAGCGCGCAGAGCCGGGGCCGCCAAACCTGCACCGCGGCTTCTCCAAACCCCACCGAGGAGGGGAAACAGACGGAGAAAAAAGACAAAACAGAAAAATGCAAACGGGGGAGGGAGCGGGCAAACCTCTCGGGCTGTAAATGGATTTCTTTGCTTGGAGAAAGGGGAAAGAAGAGCCCACGTGCCCCGAGAAGGTGTTGTGTTAAAGCGCCACCTTCCGTCGGCCCGAGGGCGCAGCGGGCTCCCTGGCGGGCTCCGGCCGGGGGCGCACACGGAGGAGCAGCTGCGCCCACCGGGGGCGGGCCAGGCTGCACCCGCCATCTCAGTTTGTGCGCGTGCCCGCGAGTGTGCACACGGCGAGGGACGCGCCCCGTCTGCTCACACCGTGGGCCTCTCGGGGACCAGCACAAAGGGGCTCCGGGCCTCTCCCAGGACCTGGTCCTCGGTTCGCGCGGGTGCCGGGGCTAGCCTGGTTCGCCTCGGGCGCGTCTGCTCGCCGTGGGGCAGCTCGTGCCCCCCCAGCATCCCGGGGAGAGGCGCATCTGTGCATACACGCGGATTTTTTAAAAATAACATATTTCTAGACAGGCCTCCAGCCCCCACCCCCAATCTTTGCAAAGCAACCCCAAGGGCGGGGGGGAAGGGCGGGGCCGCGGAGTTAATAAAGGAGAAGGGCGGAGCCGGACGCCAGCCATTGGCTGGCCGGGAGAGTGATGTCACCCATATGACACCCAGATAACTAGTTGGGAGAGAGTCCTCAACTTTTTGCAGAAGGAGCGCGCGCACGCCTGGGAGTGCTCGGGGTCCGGGGCTTGCGGCGGGAGCCACGAGCAGGAGAGAGGGGTCCCGGGCTGCCTCGACCGCCGCCGCCGCCGCCTCTCCCGTCGCGGCCGCAGCCCGCCTCGTGGGGGGGCAGTTGCCGCCGAAGCCGCCGCAGCCGCTGTGTGCAGCCTGGAAGGGGGGGCGGGGGGGAGGGGGGGAGCCGCGGCCGCGGGGCGCCGAGGACTTTGCAACTTGCCCGGGAAGGTGGAGGGGCGAGAGGGGGAGGGGGACCTCCGCACGAGACCGAGCGGCCCGGGTTGGAGCGCCCAGCCCCGCAGCGGATCATGGTGCAGCAGGCGGAGAGCTTGGAAGCGGAGAGCAACCTGCCCCGGGAGGCGCTGGACACGGAGGAGGGAGAATTCATGGCTTGCAGCCCGGTGGCCCTGGACGAGAGCGACCCGGACTGGTGCAAGACGGCGTCGGGCCACATTAAGCGGCCGATGAACGCGTTCATGGTGTGGTCCAAGATCGAGCGCCGGAAGATCATGGAGCAGTCTCCCGACATGCACAACGCCGAGATCTCCAAGAGGCTGGGCAAGCGCTGGAAAATGCTGAAGGACAGCGAGAAGATCCCGTTCATCCGGGAGGCCGAGCGGCTGCGGCTCAAGCACATGGCCGACTACCCCGACTACAAGTACCGGCCGCGGAAAAAGCCCAAGATGGACCCCGCGGCCAAGCCCAGCGCCAGCCAGAGCCCCGAGAAGAGCGCGGCGGGCGGCGCGGGCGCGGGCGGCGCCAAGACCTCCAAGGGCTCCAGCAAGAAGTGCGGCAAGCTGAAGGCCCCCGCGGCCCCCGCGGCCCCCGCGGCCGGCGGCGCCAAGGCGGGCGCGGGCAAGGCGGCGCAGCCCGGGGACTTCGGCGGCGCCGGCGCGGCCAAGACCGTCAAGTGCGTGTTCCTGGACGAGGACGACGACGACGACGAGGACGACGACGAGCTGCAGCTGCGGATCAAGCAGGAGGCAGACGAGGACGACGAGGAGCCGCCGCACCCGCAGCTCCTGCAGCCTCCGGGGCAGCAGGCGCCTCCGCTGCTGAGACGCTACAACGTCGCCAAAGTGCCCGCCAGCCCCACGCTGAGCAGCGCGGCCGAGTCCCCGGAGGGCGCCAGCCTCTACGACGAGGTGCGGGCGGGCGCGACCTCGGGCTCCGGCAGCGGCAGCCGCCTCTACTACAGCTTCAAGAACATCACCAAGCAGCACCCGCCGCCGCTGGCGCAGCCCGCGCTGTCGCCCGCGTCCTCGCGCTCCGTCTCCACCTCCTCGTCCTCGTCCAGCAGCAGCGGCGGCAGCAGCGGCGAGGACGCCGATGACCTGATGTTCGACCTCAGCTTGAATTTCTCCCAAAGCGCTCACAGCGCCAGCGAGCAGCAGCTGGGGGGCGGCGCGGCGGCCGGGAACCTGTCCCTGTCCCTGGTGGATAAAGATTTGGATTCGTTCAGTGAGGGCAGCCTGGGCTCCCACTTCGAGTTCCCCGACTACTGCACGCCCGAGCTGAGCGAGATGATCGCGGGGGACTGGCTGGAGGCGAACTTCTCCGACCTGGTGTTCACGTATTGAGAGCGCGCCCGGCTCCTGGCTCTCTCCCTCGGCGGGCGCAGGGGTCCTCGGGAAGTCGTGGTGGTGATGCTGATGCTGATGCCGGAGTTGGTGGTGGTGGTGGTGGGGTGGAGGGGAGCGAGGAAGATGCTGTGTTGATGTGATGTCGTGACACAAAAAAATTGGAAAAGATGATGAAATTTTCGGTGGAGTTTAAGTGAAATGAGTAGTTTTTAAAGATTTTTTTTTCCTGTCCCTTTTTTGTCCCCTCTCCCTTCCTTTATCGTGTCTTAAGGGAGTCGCATACCTAGTCTGGAGTGGTGATTTTTACACTCCCCCCCGATGTGTTTTTGTGATTACTATTTCTTTTTCCTGAAATTCGCGATCGCAACAAAGGCGGAGGAGGCGGGGGAGGGGAGGGAGGGCCCGCTCCGGAAGGCGCGGTTTGAAGCTTGCCGGTCTTTGAAGTCTGGAAGACGTTCTGCAGAGGACCCTTTGGGCAGCACAACTGTTACGCTAGGGAGTTGGTTGGAGTTTTTTTGTTTTTTGTTTTCTTCTTCTTCTTCCTAAAAGATCTTAAAGAACTGGTGATTTTTTTTTAAAAAAAAAAAACAAACACACAAAAAAAAGAAAAACAAAAAAGGGACCATGCAACTTTATTTTATTTTATTTTATTTTGGAGGGAGAAAACTGATGTCTTCTATGCATCCAATTCTTAACAAAACTGCAGGGAGCTTGAAAAAAAAAATGCAGACTGTACAAACGCTTACAAAAAAAAAAAACAAAACAAAACTGTGAACTGACTTAAGATCCGAGTTTACTTTTCAGATCAAATTGTTTATGGTTTTACAAATGTGATTTCTACTCGCCAACTTTTTTTTGGTACCTTGTTCCCTTATACCTCCTTGATTGAATACCAGACAGCCTAGACCTCAGTACAAAAGGTATTGAAACATTTTTGATACATAACAGACCTCAGTCTTTTTTAAAAATTAATATATTTTCAGGCGTATTTTTGTACAGTGAAAAGGGAACATTCTTGCTGTGTTTTCCAGTAAGACTTGCAGGCACTTCTTCCCTTTCGATTTCTTTCTTTCTTTTTTTTTCCTCTGTTTTTTAGCATGCAAGTATGTTGGTACGTTATGTCCTGGTTTTGAAAGGATTAAAATTTTAAAATAATCCTTGCATCTAAAGGCCTTGTGGTTTAAAGAAAAAAAAGCAAACTTTTTTTTTTTTTTTGTACAGCTATAGTAGAGATTTGTTCAATATTTGTAGGTAAAGATTTATTGAAAATGGTGATATAGACCTCAGAGCTGTTATCTTAGTTTAAAGATTGTATATGTACTGTACTATAGTAGGAATGTATGTATCTCATACGCTGTGATATGTGGATGGGGCCCCAGATGGAAGGTTGAAAACTGGATTCTCGATTTTTTAGCAAAAGAAAAAAGGCACATAGTTTAAAAAGTTTCTCATTTTGTGCAATATAATCTAAATAAAGTACAGACCATCTGCATAGTTAGTAGCGAATGGTGGCAAAGCAGACTCAATGCACTGTTGACATCATTGCCTGTTTTTTTGGTTTTTTTTTGTGCTGGAAGTCTGTATCTTGACAATTTTAATAAATCAGCTGGAACTGATAGAAAGTCGCATCGTCGCCCTGGCCGGTTTGGCTCAGTGGTTGGAGCGTGGGCCTGCGGACCAGAGAGTCCGGGGTTCGGTTCCGCTAGGGGCACATACCAAAAAAAATTTTTTAAAAAAAGTCGCATCGCCAGTAGTCTCTCTGGAAGTCTAACTGGAGGTCATGCTGTCACAGCGCCTTCAGTGACCAGGCTGTTCTGTGCTAGGGTGGGTGTGGCGGAGAACTCGCCATTTAGAGGGTTAGGCTGAAAAGTGCTCAATTGGCAGTCAGATTTCTCTTTCCTCTTCCTTCCTTGGCTAGTTATTAAAAACTGGGAGGAGGCTTCTCTGTCTCTGCCTTCTGCTCCCCTCCCCACCCCCACCCCCACTTCCTTTCTCACCTCCTCCTCCCGCCCTCTCCCCAGCCATCCGGGAGGGCGGGCGGGCGGGCTGCGCGCAGAGGCCGGGAGCTGGCGGGGGCGGGACGGGCGCGGTGGCTCCAGGGTGCCCGCGCGTAGTCCGCGTCCTGCGCTCGCCTGGCTGTGCGTTCTCTGCTGGGCTGCGTGTGTGGTGACAGGCCCCGCGGGCGGCGAGGCTGGGGCAGGCGTTTGCGTTTGAATTTTTTGTTGGAGGCTGCATCTCCGCGTGCGCGCAGTGGCTGAGACTGGTGGGCAGCGCGGCCACAGTGCTTGACCTCGAGTGGTGACGGGTAGGGGGACGTTGGTGTCTGTCTCAGTCCCGGCGGGAAAGCTCGGCCCGCGATGGGGGATGGAGGACAGCTCCGGCCGGCGGGAGCGGCGGGGCCGAGTGCAAGCCGGCGGGAGACCGGGAGGGAGGGCGCGGCCCCGGCCGTCCGGACCCGCGGCCATCGGGCATCCTTGAGGGCCGAGCCGCCCTGGGAGTGAGGAGAGGGATCGAGGGCGCCTGCCTGGCGGCCGGGTACCCAGGGGACAGAACCCCGCCGCCACGGGCCCCCGCATCTGGGTTTCCACGGCCGGCCACCGCGTGCACCTCGGCGCACCCCGCCTCCGGCCCTGGAGGGGTGCGGGGACCTCGCGTTGGTGCCCGGAGGCCCGCGGGGTGCGGAGGGGAATCGCGGAACTGCGGGGCGGGGGGAAGAAAGCAAAGCCCTGGAGGAGGCCGCCGCGCCCCGGCTCGTGGGCCGCCGGCGAACCTGCCCCGGGCGGGCAGCTTAGGGGAAGGTGGCTCTGTTCCTCCGTTGTCCTTTCTTTCAACTGCCTCCCCGGGGCTCGGGCCCGCGCTCCCTGCTCGCCGGGAACCGTGTGCCCGGCTCTCCACCCTCTGCTCCCCACTCGCGCTCTCCCGGCCCGGCCTGGTCTCGGAGCCCGGGCGGCAGGTCCTGACTCCCGCCCCGCTCCGTGCCCTGCGCCCTTCTCCTCGGGGTCCCGCCGGGGAGGCTTTGGGGAGGCCCCACGGGGCCCGCGGTGGGGGGCGAGTTTCCGAGGCTGGACTCGGCGCGACATCGCCGCGACTCCGTCTTTAAAGCTACTGAAATGCAAGGTCCGGCCTCCTTTTCCTCCGAGGCTGGGGGGGCCCAAACGGGAGCGCCCTCCACCGGGAGGAACGGCCAGGCCCTGCACCCTCCTGCCCCGCTCCCCGCCCCCACGCTTCCCGGGCTCCCGGGGAGCCCGCGCCCCACCCCCACCGCCCCCACCCCCACCCGGTGATGGACAGCCAGCCCGCGTTTGCCGCGCGGACAGACCTCTGCGGCTCTTCCCTTCCCGAGAACCGGCAGATTTCAGGGGTGCCCTGGGGCAGGGTGGGCTGGTGGCGGTAGCAAGGTTCTCGAGCTAGAACGGGGTTTCTGGAACTGCGTACTCCCCCTCTCCCCCAGGAGCAGGCTGGTGGCATCGGCCCGACATGTATTTAGCAGATACTTGAACCAGCGGTTTGCAGCGGACGAGTGTCCGTGCTGGCGCTTTGCCGGGCGGCCTCGGCCCAGTTTCCAGAACTTACGGAAAACAGACCCATTTGTGAGACTGAATCGATGTATTTTGAAAAATCTAACAACTTTGCATGTATTTGATGTTTTGCTCATAGATGAATCTTGGACATTTTCTGTGGTAAGGTAGAAACTTTATGTAAATTGGTATCATGTCATAATTTGGCCTCAGAATGGAAACGAATAGTTTTTTTTTTTTTTTTAAAGCTATGTAGCCTAATTTCTTGATAGTGAAATAAGAGAAAAATAGGTGATGGTCGGCGATCTAAATTTTACAAACCTGTTTAGAACTCAGGACAGGCGTTTGAATGCGCTTTTAACAATATTTAAGGCTTTTTTGATGAATGCATTGTGAAAATCAGTCTTAATTCTTTATTGAATGTCGAAAACATAGTATAATACACAAGGTATTCTTGCCACTGGATAGTCTTCAATAAAAGTTTAATTGCATTTTTTAGTCTCTTAAGTAAGTCTTATTTTTAACCAAGCAATTACAGACTATCTTAAAATGGCAAGGAGGGGGTGGGGTGGGCCCTGAGTGGCTGCAGCCTAGCTTGGGGTACCCTGCTGTTTATAACTAGTTCTCAGACTCTGATGATAGCTTTTGGGTAAGATTTCCATGTTTAAGAACTTGAACCAGCATTCTCTTATTAATTCTTTAAACTGGAAATAATCTTCCAGTTCTTGCATTCTGATATGCATCCCTTTTATTCAAAACAAAATAAAACAAAACAAAAAACACCCAATGTCAACAAAAGGCAGTGTATTTAAACTGTGCAAATATTCTATGTATGTTATGAATGACTACAGTCCACAGGGCAAATTATTTGTAGAATGGTAATCTTTTAGCTAGGAAAAAAAAAATGACAACCCTTTTGGGTAGAGATGTTTCTTTTTTAATGTTAATCAAGGGGAAGTGATTTAAATATTCATGCATGTAGCAAGATGATTTAGTGTTTTTTTTTGTTTGTTTGTTTTTGAAAAGTAAAAGACTCAAAAGAAAAGGCAAGACTTGAGTTTCTCTTCTCTGGGAGTTGAAACCATACTATTTGCTAGAGGTACAGTACAAGAAATTTATGTCTGTTCTTTCACTCCAGAATTTACCTGACTTGCCCAAGGAATCTGAGAAATTAAGCAAATAAGTTGCTCTATTTTAGAGTGGTTATTCAATATAAATATATTATATCAATCTTAACTTTTTTATTCTCTGATATGATTAATGATATGTATATTCTTACTTTTTCTTCTAATGGGCATATGTATCTTTGTGGACATTTTGGAGAGAGGTTTTTCTCGGACTCTCCCATTTATAGAACCTTTATACTCTTTTACCGTGGTTCCCTGCTTTTAACAGATTTCTGAGGCAAATATATTTGTGCTTCTTTCTTACGTAGGATGACAGCAAAAATAGTTTACTGAGTTGTCAGTTTTATCGGTA